ATATCACTGCTGTTTCCCCAGCTTTTCGGATATCATTCCATGCTGCATCGGGGTGGGCATCACATACACGGCTGCCTAACTGTTTTTCTAGTTGTTCCTGAAATATAATCGTAGCCTGACTATCATTAAGTAGGGCCCAAAGAGGTTTCCTTGCAGCGTCTTTCCTACGTCCAGTAAGACGCAGGCAAATACGCGCTCACACTAGAGCATGATCTGAATCTAAGCATGTGCTCCAGAATGAGCGACAGTCTTCTATCGAGCCCCTCCATCGGTGGCTGATAGCGACGTTGGGATGGATTCGGGGCTCGCCATGTTAAAAGATGTTTTTCCTTATGCTTAAAGTTAGTATTTGCAAGGAACAGGCGGTTATCTGAGCATAGCTGCAACAGACGGTCGCCATTATCTGTTCTTTGAGCCACGACACCATAAGATCCACCCAGGTGTCTTTCCCTATCGCTTAGTTTACCTACTTGAGCATTAAAGTCACCGGCCACTATTACTACATCCGAGCGCCTAGCTTTTCGGAGGAGGTCGGAGAGCTTTCTGTAAAACTCATCTTTTACATCATCTGAGCTGCAGTCAGTGGGAGAATAGGCAGAGACGACGAAGAGGCAACGACGAGTGTCCCTATCTTTTCGGATCCTTACTGTTCCGTTCAGTCGGACAGCGCACAAACGACTGTCTACTGGGATCCACTCTAAGAGAGCTAGTTCTGCCCTAGGACTCAATGCTATACCTACGCCGGCGAGGCCACGGGAAGCATCATCTGGGCTTCCAGATACACGAAGTGTGAATCGAGTCGGTTCTTTATTTTGGCATGGTGAGGTCAAATGAATGACGCTACTGGATCCTGTATGCGCGTTTCGGAGACGCAGTGCACATCGATGGCGCGAGATTCTAAAGTCCTAGCTAAGGAAGCCTAATGTCCTATTTGGCACAGTGTTCGGACGTTAAAAGCTCCTACGTGTAGTTTAGAGCGTGGTTTCAGGAGACCAGGAATAGCGTTCCGCGTACTCGAATCGTTTGCCCTAGCGGTGCGAGGTGATAAAGAGACGTGAGGAGGGTTAGTCATGGAGATAAGAGAGGTATTAGGAGGTGTAGGAAGGATTTGAATGTGACCAACTTGGTCTCGTGTGCTGTTACGGGTATGAGGGCTGATATCACTTCCCGGCTGCCCACACCGTGGAAGGGTATTTCTTGAGGAACCTGAAAAGGAAATTGGATTAGTGTTGGTCTTAACGACCTGGGAGCGTGACCGCAGAGCCCAAGGGACAACTGCTTGAGGCCGGTCGCGCACGGCCTTTTCGTGAGAGGTTTTTGACGTGTTAGCTCCGTTCTTCAAAGGGCCTTACCGCCGGAGACGGAAATCCGTGAGGTAAGGTGAGGTGTGACATTTTTAGGGTCGACCTTTTCTAACCCCACCCCTCCTTGTGGGAAGGCAGCATCGCTGCAGATGCTGGTTGTCCGAGGGAAACACCTTACTGCTGTCACACCCCTCTACAGTCAGCAGTACGACTTCGCCCTCAGACCTTGAGTTGCTGCTTTTAGTCTTACCGTTCTCCAATCGACCTGCCTGGCATGGTAGAACCTACAGGAACATATGTTCCAGCCAATATAGCTCAGTAGGCAAGCCCGACCACCGCGTCAAGGTAGCAGCTTCGGTCAGCATTTTGAAGTTTATGTACCCATGTTTGACCTACCTTCTATATTGTTATATTGGCTGGAAATTTAGTTACATTATTGTCCATTTCATCACCAGTGCATCTATCTTCATACTATATATTTTTACTTTATATGTACTATGTGTAGTTATGAAATCTATTTCACTGGAATCATTGACTGGCAATTAAGTTAGCTGGTTAAACATTTTCACCCAAGTATTCATATATAAAAGAGAAGAGCTTGATAAAGATAATATATTTCTGCATGAGCAGGTACACGCCATTTTCACAGGCATGATCTACAAATTACAACATTTGTTGGCTCAAGGCATGCTTCCCAACTTACTAGGTTTGTAGTTGTTACAAAGTGGACTCGTAGAGCGCTTGCCGTAAACTATGACCTTGTAGCGGTGAATAAATCCCCAAAATAAATAGCTCTGAAAGTCTTCGACATTGGATGCTGACCACATGTTTTAATGGGTTCACCTAGTTGAAGGCGCTCAGTCATGCATCCGCACCACATCACGAGTGGGAACGCCGTGCTCAACATCTGCTGCAATCGCTAGCCAGATTAGATCAGACAATTCCGATATATTGATAGTCATCAAATATATCTTCGAACCTCCTCGACTCTGTCTTTTGATTTCTACTTGGTGGGTACGAGTTGTATTAGGTGTTACTGGTTAGAGTTGTCAAACTCTGGATACTTGTGGCATCTTCAACGTCGAACTGCGACATGCCTCGGCAACGAACATGTTACGGTTGAGAGAGGTAATTGATCGAAGGACTTTTGACGGCAGCCTATTTAGACAACTGTTCGTGTATAAGCTTCCTCAGCAGGGGCAGGTAGTATTTGCCTTATTTCAAAATAAGGCTGTAGACGGACTGGCAGCATCTGCTGACCTGATTCTGGAGATATCCAGAACTCCCAATGCTGAGGTTTACTCAGTCAGAGGAAAGCCCCAAACGACACGAAATGATGTTACAGATCTCTCTCATAGTCGGACGCATTACCTTCGTCATGACCGCACATGAAAACGATCTGTCTCTTAATCACGAAAGACAGACAGTTTTCCTTGGTGCTGGCACCACAATAAATATAGTAAATCTCGAAGTCGTGGAAAACTCAGCCGTTTCCCAAGCCACAAACAGACCGACACGAGTAACTTTTAGAAAACTTTCCAGCCGGCACACATAGCCGGTGAGCATAGCTGTCTGTTATTCATCACGGACGTGAAAGCGAAAGCTCGCTATCTCACCGACACTGGCGCAGAAGTTAGCGTTATTTCAGCAAATCCTAACGACCTCCGTTTGTACGTGTCAATAAGGTGCTCATGGTGCTGTGGCAGATCTACACCAATGATTGGGATAGGAACATGCGCAGCAACTAAGATCTAGTGACTGGGTTTGCGTAAATCGACGCTGAGATAGACGTACTGTTTATCATATGTGGCCATCAGTTTTCCATTTGTCGACTGTAAGTTTAAGACCGATTCTTGGAGTCGGTCGTAGAGGTCAGCCTCCGCGTAGCCGAATCATTCTTCAATGTTTTCAGGTCAGAACGACATTAGGTGGAATGAGGGTGGTGCATGAGTCTTTATCTTAAGTAAATTAGGAGTCTTTTCCTTCATGACGAATATAAAGCATAGGAATGAACGAGAGGGGAAATATCCGAAAATTTTAAAAGAAGTATCACGATATGTAAAAATTGAAGTAAAGTAATGATACATGAAGTTCCAAAAAGAAACAGACTCACAGTTTACAAGTTGGTGTACTGGATTCCGTCGGTTTTGCCAGTAAAGTTGCCTTTTGTATTCAGAATATGACAACGAATCTGCACGCACAGATTTTATAATAGGAATTTGCGAACGGAATATATCGAATCAGAAGTCAGGAGTGAAGTATTTCGAAGATATGTTTTAAATGCCATCGTTGTATCGATGAACGCTTGGTCTAAGCTGACTAGCATTCTTAAGAAAAGGCTTAGCTAGGCACACTCACTTGTGATCTGGTGCAGATGCGTGACGAGCGCCTAGATCCAGATGTGACTACTGAACACAAACGTGATGGCATCAAATTTCGAAGACTTACAGAGCTATTGATTTCGGAGGGCTATTAACCTCTATATTCTTAATTAAATCTATGAATAACCATTGTGTTCATGTTATTCTTATAATGGAACAAGGTTATCGGACGGGCAGATTGATAAATTGTGGTGTACTAAACAAGGATACCAATAATTCCACAATATAATAAATGGCTTTCGCTTACTCAGTCCGATTTGATTTCGTACTGTAATTCTAAGAAAATAAAATGCTAAAAACTGTGATTCGTGATAGTAGCATAGATAACCAGTGTGAATGATGGGTCTAATCTGATTAGGTAGTAAGGGTAACTACCTAGCCTGCATCTAAGTCGCACCTTGTGGTCAATACCTTACCTGGATTGCCCTGTCGCTGCAACCGGACCGCGTGTTTACTATAATGATCTCTGAAAAGGCACCGTTTTACTTAAAAATGTATTATGGTAAGAGGCTAGAACTATAAACATTAAAGCCATTGCTCAGTGTGTAAGTTCCTAACGTGCATTCGGTTCATCCATCTCTATCATTATGTCGACCATTCACTGATTGTCTGTTTAAGATAAAGGCGGTTCACTCTGATAGATAATTAGGCTAAAATAAAGTAATATTTCAGTGGCTTCACAATGTTAAGTACTAATGAATAGACTGATAGAGATGGTTAATCACTTTGTGACTTTCAACTTAGCTACAAAGCATTACCGAAATGACAGTGTGTGATAAAACGCACAGAGCATTCAGTACACTGATGTATTAGTTGCGTTGTAAGCTCATTATTCCAACCTAGGAAACTAAATAACCAAAATTACTTTTGACCCATATTTTCTGCGTCTACGACTACCTTCAGAGTTAAAAGAGTAGCTTTATTAAGATCTTAGCAGACATAATCATTAGACCCTCAACTAGTGCATAGAGTAATCCTTCCATTTGGATGTTACTCCTCAAACAACTTTGGAGGTCTCACACCTTAAAAATAAGCTGTGTTGGGTGAAATAGTGTTGATTATTATAATGGTGTTTATAAGAGCTTAACTATATCATGAGTAAACAAAATCGAGTGGCGAACTATTGCCAAAACTATATAACGTTATCAAAAATAAGGACACGTTAATCATTTTATCAGCACTTAGGACGAATGTGTCGTCTCGTGAATTTGTTTCTATATTTACAAAGAGTACAACGAAATTATTGACGGTTGAAAGGGGCTTTCTTGTGTTTGTTGTCAACTATCAGCGTGCAACGATACAATCTAATTGGATCATGGTTGGTTGTCGTGTTTTTCTCTTTAATGCTTAAGTTTTGGTTTACATTTGCGAGTTTTCCGTTAATGTTTTAAAGCAGTTAGACCCATTTTGAATTCGTAATAAACTTTCCCAGAAGACCAGTTTACTATATATTATGAAACCAGACTATGAAAACTGAACTGACTGCAAATTTTTCGGTTAGATTCTTCAGGTTAAAGGCGAAAAAGGAGACATAGTGGGAGAAAAATCTGGACTATAAAACTAAATTTTCTTGTTTTTCTCACGGCAATCGTGTCTTCCAGTTACCAGTTCGTCTCTTCAAGCTCATTTAATGAAGCATCTCGTCCGCAGGTCCCTCTCTAGGAGATCCAGGATTTATGCGAGATCATCGTTAGTACTTGCATAAGACCGTCTGAGGATTTCAAGAAGTATCCAGGATCAGACGCTTGGGTTCCCCTTACCCATTGCTTTGGGAGGACATTCAATGGGAAATCCTTAGTTTGGAAATATCGAGCGAAAATATATTCAAATGTTTCTGCAACACGCGTTTGTTAGTTTGAAAGTGTTTCCGATAAGTAGCACCATCAACTGATATTTTCGAGGAGACTCACATCTGCGGGTCAGCAATTCTAGGAAGTTGGGGATTAACCTCATAAATCCCCGTCATCTTCATTTATACCGTTAAGTACTAACGTATTTAGGTCGAAAAATATACCAAGTCAAGGGTCATTTGTTTCAGTCATCTACAACGTAGGATCAGGCACATATATACATCGATCCAAGTTGCTATACCTCATTAGCACAAGAAAATCAAATTTATAGAAGTAGTTACTTCAATAGTAATGCTATGTGACTCAAGGCTTGTGGTCTTTTGTGTCATTGTCCGTATTTTTGTGATTTTCACACCATTGGCTTTTAAGCTTACCGGGGCAAAAAACTATATAATAGTGGGGGGAGGTATTCCCTACTTGTTTGTAATTAAACTTGTTATGTGATAAAACTGGCCTAAGATTTTAACGTTTATGGGATTTTTGCTTTTTTTTAGTGACTTATTACACAAATTTATTTTAAAGTTATACAGAACAACAAACTACCTCATGTCGAGATAAATTTCAAGATATACCTGTATTAGCAAAAGTAGTAAGGAGTGGTCGGACGTCTTGGAGCTTGTACAGCATAATTAATATAAAAGCGGTGACGTGAGCTAATATTTTATTCATAATTCGGAAAGTTATGGACATTTCTTGCAGTAAGCGAATTCTCCAAGCATTCGATGGAAATTAAAGCTTCAGTAGGTTTTATACCATCATTTTCTGAAAATGCTTCTTACTAAACGCTCTTGTACTATTCGAATGTGGTTCTTCTACTTTTGAAAGTTAGGTGTACTCTAGCAATTCTAAGGTGTAGTTCACACTATAGAAGTTCATTTTGACTCAAGGCAAGACTTCATGAAAAGGCTATAGATATAACTTGAATTGAATGAAAAGCATTTTCATCTGGTCCTACGCTTAATTTGACTTGCACACTGAGTTTCTTTCAAGTCTGATTGGTGACTCATTTAAGTATGTCGAAGTGTCCAACAGATTATTATTGTCTGTCTGTAATCTGGTTGCTTATTCTCTTCATTTTAATTAGCTTTCACTGCAACCAATTTCAATTCTAAGCGCTGGTGCTGATGAAGAAAGGCAGAAACCGCCCGACTTGTAAGTTTCACTTTAGAATCTTTATTTTAGTCTTCCTTCATTGGAGCCATTGCTATCGGTGATCTTGTTAAGACTACTTTGGGTCCTAAAGGAATGGACAAAATCCTCCTCTCATCCGGAGAAACTGTCGAAGTGACAAATGATGGCGCTACTATTCTGAAGTCAATCGGGGTAGATAATCCTGCAGCTAAGATCCTTGTTGGTATGTTTAATCCTAATTCTGTCTAATATTTATGGCAATTTAGAAATGAGTAAAGTTCAAGATGATGAGGTTGGTGATGGTACAACTTCAGTAACTGTTCTGGCCGCAGAATTATTGCGTGTAAGTTGTTACTAATAATCACTTATTAATGCTAATGACTGTAGTCTTATACGTATATTTGGAATCATTTGGTAGCTCTCGGTGTAAATTAGTTGAACAACTGCTCTTTAACTTCCCTTGCCCTGCGATCTTAATTTTTCAATCAAATTATACCTTAGTTATGTTATCTAATACCTAATGATAACCTGTTGATGACTATGTGCTGAGGTTGTCTAAATCAGTCAGCTACATCGTAGGACCAGGCACATATATGCATTGGTCCAAATTACAACTCCTGAAGCAAAGACTTGCATTTGGAGGGGGAGAAGCGTATCTCAAACATTCTGGCATTGTTGTTTAGTGCTACCAAAAGACTACATTTTATCAGCGTCTTCACTAAACAGGACTATATCATCTGCGTATTCTAAGTCGTTAAGTAGACCTTCTGGTAGGAGATCAGTGCCCGAAAATTCAGTTGTCAAATGTGAAAAATGTAGTAAGCCTTTATATGCCTGTTTTTGTGGCGCGTGATAATTATTTCCATAAATTTCGAGAACTCATCCTTGATATATCAGGGAGAAATAATCAACATGGGACGTAATACAAGTATACTAACCTAAGTTGCTACACCGCAGGACAGTGATATTAAATTAACAAGATACGTACTAAGAATTCGAAATAACAGTATTGTTAACTGTGGTGATATAACTCATGATACAGGATACTAGGTGAACTTTCGTAGAGTAATAAGTATGAAGTATTAAATCTCAAAATCTAGATAACAGTAGAAAATAAATACATTTAATACGCAAACCGATTTCGGGCCATACCATAGAAGGTATAAATTATCCGTAAGGAATATTGCCTCAAATAGGTAGTCTATATTTCACGGCATAACCTTGGCCAACAGTTACTGAGATCAGGTCTTATTTCGGCTTTTAGCTTTCTTACAGCCAACATTGCATGTCCAAGTGGGTGGCATCTGGGTGTACGTAACATCTGTTCCATTTGTCTAAGTTTATAAAAAGTCACAATCTTAACCTTGTTCTCATGTTTATTTACAGTTGGACGCCTAACCTTATCGTTAGACACTCTAGATATCACTATACTGTAGGTATTATCTGTAAACTCCCACATTAAAGATTGGTCGCACTAAACACATTGATCCATTAAATAATCCGGTGACAGAATAATGTGTGGTTCAGTCAGTTAATCATGATGAACATATAACCTGACACAAATATGAGTGGGCTCTGGTCACCGTACCAAATTAACATGATCCAATGAAATCAACATTTATAGCAGATGAGTCGGAATAATATATTCTCAGCGATAATGAGGACTAAATACAATGAAGGTACGTATAAATTAATATTAGAACTTCAGGATCTTTAGGGAGACTAAAAGCATACATCTCAAGAGCGAACAAGTTTAAGCCTTCCACCCAATTTCTCCAAGTACTGATTGCAGTTATTGTTTGGATCCCAACGAGGTAGTTTGCATCCTTAAATACGACTAATGGACTGGTACCTACACCTAATGCTCAAATAGGTAAACTAAGCAAAAGGAAAGACATCGGGGTTAATATTGTGGTATCGTAGCTCAAAGAACAGGTAATGGTGGCCATATGTTGCAGTTATGCTCAGATAACCGCCTGTCTCTTGTAAATACTAACTTTAAGCATGAAGGAAAACATCTATTGACATGGCGAGCCCCGAATCCATCCCAACGTCGCTATCAGCCACCGATGGAGGGGCTCGATAGAAGACTGACGCTCATTCTGAGCACATGCTTAGATTCAGATTATGTCCTAGTGTGAGCGCGTATTTGCCTGCATCTTACTGGACGTAGGAAAGACGCTGCAAGGAAACCTCTTTGGGCCCTACTTAATGATAGTCAGGCTACGATTATATTTCAGGGACAGCTAGAAAAACAGTTAGGTAGCCGTGTATGTGATGTCCACCCCGAGGCAGCATGGAATGATATCCGAAAAGCTGGGGAAACAGCAGTGACATCTGCTAGTGCGGTAAACCATAAGGTTAGGGAGAAACACTGGATCTCATCAGCACCTACCGCACTGATAGATGCGCAAAAACTCATTCCATCTGGCTCTTAACATAACGAAGAGCGGAGTCAGCTTAAGCGCAAGCTGACAAGAAGTCTACGCAATGATCGTGGACAGTGGTGGGTGGCGAAATCAAGAGAGATGGAAAAGGCAGCGGCAATAGGTAATAGCAGACAATTGTTCAGACTTGTTTAGGAAACCGACTGTTAGCGAAACAATCTCAGAGGAAGATGGACATATACATTCTCAATCCAGGAGATTGGATCGATGGGCGGAACACTGGGGACGCCCCCAAATGCCCTGGTATGGCCGAGAGTAGGGTGGGCCCGCCCTCCCTCTCGAAATGCTCTCACACGGCCACGCGTATGCAGCCTCTGCCAGGGAAGTCCTACTCGCTGCCTTTTTGTGGTGGGGGTGTTGTTTACGAAAATGAGAGGACGAAAAGCGAATGTCCGGCGGTTTAACCGGATTCCAAACCAATGGTGCACATAATCTCCAGTATCCTGGAGGACCAATCGTTGGTCACCGGCTACCATGGGACTGCATCTCCTTAAGATGCTCCACTGCCTTGTGGGTCAGACTTTTAGGTCAAACGCTCCGGGTGTGGTCCTCTAAGAAAACCACCTGTTTCGGTCTGGGCACCCAGGCAGTATCACAGCCCACACACACACAAATATGGTGTGGCGCATATATTTTGGATGCCCTCTTGTACCAATATTTATGTGTTGAAATAGTATTAATAAAATAACACGTTGGGGACCAGTTCAACTGGTATTCAGCCACACTTCGGTTTCCCACGATCCCCAGTCAACCTGAATGGCAAGTTAATGTAGGTCCTCCGACTCTACGAAGTTGAAAAAGCTATAGGAAATCTGAAGTGTGGGAGAGCAGCAGGCCCTGACAGGTTTACTCCTGAGATTTTTAAGGATGGTGGTCCAGTACTAGCAGTGAGATTGACTGAGGTCTCAGGTAGAATTTGGGAACTAGACGTAATCCCATCTGACTGGTCTCAATCACTGATTGTGCCAGTCTATAAGAAAGGACAAAAGTCTTCTTGTGACAATCACAGAGTAATCAGTTTGACTGATATAGTGTCTAAAATATTATCTTCAATAATACTTTGACGCCTAACTAAAGCTCGTGAAGAGCAGACTAGAGAAAACCGGGCTGGTTTCCGACCTGGACGTGGTTGTATAGACCAGATATTCACACTACGTCAGGTTATAGAACACAGACACACACTCAGACGCCCCACAATGGCAGTATTTCTCGACATTAAGGCGGCATTTGACTCTGTTGATCGTAAGGTTCTATGGCAGTGTTTGCCACTGAAAGGAGTACCAAAGAAGTACATTAACCTTGTAAAGGCTCTCTACTCGAACACAACTGGTCAAGTGAGAGCTTATGGCGAACTGTCATCAGAATTGATTACCTCAAGTGGTGTTCGTCGGATCTGTCCACTCTCTCCATTCTTGTTCAACCTTGTCATTGACGTACTTTTAGAGATAACACTCTCCTCATCTAAATTTACAGGGGTTGAACTTCTACCGGGAGGTTCACTTGTTGACTTAGAATATGCTGATGACATAGTTTTATTTGGTGAAGACGCTGACAAAATGCAGAGTCTTCTGACCACTCTAAGCAACAATGCAAGCATGTTCGGGATGAGATTCTCCCCCTCGAAATGCAAAATGTTGCTTCAGGATTGGGTGGCATTGGCACTTGAACTAATTATAGGGAGTGAAGTAACTGAGCGTGTCGACCGCTTCACTTATCTTGGAAGTCTCATCAGCCCTTGTGGTTTGGTGTGTGACGAAATCTCAGCACTGATACAGAAGGCTCGACTGGGTTTTACCAACTTGCGTCATTTATTGCGTAGGTTAACCAACCAGAGGACGGATTTACTGCGCAGCAGTTCGTTCCGTCCTACTTTATGGCAGTGAAACATGGCGGGTAAGAGTAGATGATATTCGTTGGTTACTAGTTTTCAACGGTACGTGTCTTCGAAACATTGCTCGTATATCCTGGGACCACTGAGTTGGTAATGCAGTTGTTAGGAAATGGGTACTAGGTGAGGATGGCAAGTCATCTGATGAATTTGTGATACTTCACCAGTTGAGATGGCTGCGATATGTGTTACGTATGTCCAACCACCGACTGCCCCGACGTGCGATGTTTTATGGTGTAGTAGTAAGTTGGAAGAAAGCTAGGGACGGCCAGTCCAAAACATGGCACAAATCCATGAATTCACTGACAAGTGGATTGAACCATGTTGGTAGGTGTAGACTACTACCTGGTTGTGATCCGCGATACGATAGCAACCGATGGTTGGAGACCCTGAATGACATGGCTCGAAATCGTTTGCAGTGGCGCAGGTGCATCCACTTGTTGTGTTCTTCCAAATTCTAATTTTAATTCTCCCTCTTTCCAAGTTTATTTCACTGTATTATACTCCTTGAATAACATCTTCAAACCGTAATCTTTCCGATTACTGCTTATACTTTTATTACCTCGACCACTGCATCTCTGTGCTAATGTGGTGTGGCAACTCGAACTGATGTGCATACGTACGAAGTTCTACGTTGTTGCTGACATTTCACATCGAAATAATCAGTGGTTTGGCATATGTGACATATTCCGATAAACCCACTTGATGAAGATTCAAAGCCTCACCAACTGGCTTGTTATTTTTGACAAAACTTCGGCGTTCCAAGCAACACTTCGGAAACAGCTGTTATAAATAATCTGCATCCCACAAATCAGCTTTCGTAGACTGTTTCGCAGCCGTAGAGTAATACAATGCGGACTGCTGCATAATATATTCGACTTTTGTTTCACAGGCGGACATCTCGCCTACGCGATAAAAGATGCAAGTTGGCTTGACCCAACTGGGCTTTCTGAATCTGCTGAAATATTGTCAAATACTAGCCCATCAGGGCTAATAAGACGTCCAAGGCAAATAAAGTAGTTAACTATTTGTTGGCGCTTCACAACTGTCTTTGAGATCATATAGTTGGGTTATTAGTAAAATCAGATATGATTCAAATTTAGTCATTTCTGAAGTCTTATTTTGTCTTTTGCGTTAATGAAGAGATATGTTCAGGATTTTTTTCCTTTATATAATCTATAGACCATATGTATCATCTTCATGATCTTTACCTTCTTGGGTTCATTTTCAATTTACAACTTAGTTTGTAATAGGATCTGTGTAGCATCTATAGTAGCTAACAGTGAAGTTTATAGTTTCCTTTTTACACCACTTTGAACATAACTGCTGAATATGTATACGTCTCGTTATGGTATTCCTCTTAAGGCTTAAGCCTAGCACCACCCATCAGTCTAAACAACAGTCTTGCCGAAGAAATTTCTGAGTATTAATATGTATTTCTTAGTCGAAAATGGAAAGTGTTTTCAATCTCCAGTTTCCCATTTTCGGAATAAGGTGCGCATGGGAACATATTAACTTAGCAGATAACTGTGTAAGCAAGACGATAAGTTTTAAACTGTAAGAGTTGGAAACACCAGTACAGTTAAATATAGAGATCATAACTCGTGTAGTAAAACTAAATACTGTAGTAGCAGTTTATATTTGGGGTCTTGATAAGTATCATTAACAGGTGTTAGTAATTTCATGAATTTAGCTTTAATTGCGATGCTTTATTTTCATTGTTATTATTTAGGAAGGTGAACAACTAATTGCTGCTAAGCTTCATCCTCAAACTATTGTACAAGGTTGGCGTGAGGCTACTAAACTGGCCTTAGCGGCTCTTGATTCGGCTGCACATCAGTTATCAAACCAGTCAGATGCTGAATTCCGTAACCGTCTGTTAAGTATTGCACGTACAACTTTGAGTTCCAAGCTCCTGACACAACATAAGGAACACTTTGCAAATTTAGCGTAGATGCTGTTCTTCGTCTCAAAGGTAGTGGAAATCTTGATGCTATTCAAGTAAGGATTTAAAGTTCCTATCATGTTTAACAGATGCCACCCACTCATGAGACTAACTAGACTATTTGATTTACAGATTATTCAGAAGCTGGGTGGAACCATGACTGATTCTTATTTGGATGAAGGCTTTCTCCTGGATAAACGACCTGGTGTAAACCAACCTAAAAGAGTGGAAAACGCCAAAATACTGATCGCCAACACTCCTATGGATGCAGATAAAATTAAAGTATTTGGAAGCAAGATCCAAGTAGATGCTATTTCAAAGGTGGCTGAATTAGAACTAGCCGAAAAGCAAAAAATGAAAGACAAAGTCGACAAAATTTTAAAGCATAACTGTTCAGTATTTATTAATAGGTAAATTGAAATTTCCACCTCTAGGTGTTTTCATGTACCAGAATGTTGTTTTCACCACAAGCTTACATTAAATAAGAAAGTAGTTGATATAAGATGTATTACAAATTCGCTTCACTCACGGGTTCAAACTCCTTCAGGTCGAGCGCACATTGCTATGGACTCCCTTGCTTAGGACATCTAAAGTGATTTAGTCTGATATTTAAATCCTCAAGTTAACCAAAATAAATATCTGAAACCAAGATAATTCCTATATTCAACTGGACATTGCATAGTGCTAGCTTATTATTAGTAGAGCTATTTTGCTGTATTCTAAATCCAATGTTTTTATAGTCATTCATTTCTGTTTTCCTAAGTATCCAACTTGGCTGTTATCAACTTCTTACATTAAAGCCAATCCGTCTTTGCTACTTTTTTTAGACTATCTTTTTTAATTACATGAAAAGTCCATTGCATGTCTTCTTATTCATTATGATTATTATAAGCTTCGTATATTGTATACTGTTACTTCCACTTGTAAAAGTCCCAATAAGTGAATTGCTTTAATGTCAACGAGTATGCTATATATATATATATATATATATATATATATATATATATATCGCAAAATGTGAACTTGTAATCTTATTTTCAGGCAGTTAATATATAACTACCCCGAGCAGTTGTTTGCTGATGCTGGTATTATGGCAATTGAGCATGCAGATTTCGAAGGTGTGGAAAGGTTGGCTCTAGTTACTGGTGGAGAAATCGTTTCCACATTCGACTCTCCGGAGACTACAAAATTAGGACATTGTGATTTGATAGAAGAAGTACGTAAACTTTTCATCATTGTTGTTTTAGAACCTCCATCATAATCTAAATTAAATAACTTGTTTGTCCTACTGAGTATGTGAGTTATCTTAACGTTTCTTCCTCTGTAATGTAGCACTGGATGAACGTAATGCCCCTACTTGGTAATAAAACCTTTTTGACTGCCTTAATTTCAATTTTTTAAAAAATAACAGCTTAACATTTTATAGACCTTTCTCATTTGGCGTTTTTGACTTGATGCATACGATGAAAAATCCTTATTGTATTACAGCAGTTTTAACTAAGCCTTCCAAGATAGATACGATGCTTTGTAATTGTTCATTGAGATGTAGGTACCTTCACACTATCTATATATTTAGTACATTTCAGGACCTTAGTTTTGTGTTGTATAAGTGAATGGGCATCTGTAATGTATGTCACTTTCCATGTAAACCATCCTCTGACGTTTCAATGGAAAATTTTTACAGGTTACATATATTAATTATTGAATTTGGCGCGCTAAAATGTTCTGAAGGTTGAATTCAAGTCAATTAATTTCCAATAATGAAGATTCAAATAACTATGGATTCTGCCGGTGGCGTTACTGATGAGATCAATCTGCGTGGGGTGAAAGTCAAATGGATTTGTACCAATCATAGGCACTTTTTGTTCCATCGTAATATTAGTCTTGCTATAAAATATATGGTCTACAACTCTTCGGTGAGAGCAGTTTTGCTGTATGTTTGGAGATCTGATCTTCAAGTCACTGATGTTCGGTGACTCTGTTCAATCAATCTAGCAGCAACTTCATAGTTAGACAGATATTCCAGTATATGACTCAGTAACTGACAACTCAGCCTAATCCATTCATCCATAGCTTCACATATTTGTAGTATAGTATCAGCTTAGTAACTGGGATTGAACTCGAGATGCTATTTTTCAATAAAATGTTTAAATATATCTGTACTTGTAAAGACTCATAATGACTATCGATTTCCTTAGTTAATTTTATTTAATAATTGTTTAACGTCAAAGCTTTTCTGAAAATATTTTATAGCTGCATACACCTTTATTACTTTATTTATTTTTAACGTTGACTCTAATTGTTCATCATCCTCTCAGGTTACAATTGGTGAAGACAAGTTACTTCGATTCAGCGGTGTTGCTATGGGTGAGGCTTGCACGATTGTCTTGAGGGGTGCTACAAAAAGTATCCTGGCAGAAGCAGAACGCTCTCTTCATGACTCTTTATGTGTTTTGGCTCTCACAGTAAAAAATCCCCGGACAGTTTGTGGTGGTGGAGCTATGGAGATGTGGATGGCTGAAGCAGTAGCACAGGGTGCTGCTAAAACACCAGGAAAAATATCTTTAGCTATGGAGTCCTTCGGTCGAGCTTTGAGACGCTTGCCTTCTATAATAGCAGATAATGGTGGTTATGATAGCGCAGACTTGATCTCTCAGTTACGTGCTTCTCATGCAAATGGTGAAAAATCCATGGGTTTGGGTAAGGATTATGAAGTGCGTCTTACTTAAATGTAGGATAACATTTTTTTATCAAGAATTTCATTAAACTAATGCTTTTATTGATAATTATTGAATCATATTACGGTTAACTTTATTGACGAGTATTTGTGAGGTTAGTTTTTCATTTATCTTCTGCTTGTTTTTAGATATGAACAATGGAGTAATTGCCGATATGAATGAACTCGGGATTATTGAATCGTATGACGTAAAGCATCATTTGGTGACATCAGCTGCAGAAGCTGCGGAAATGATAATACGTGTAGATGACATCATTAAAGCTGCTCCTCGTCGTCGAGCTCCTCGAAGGCATTAAATAAAATTAGCTTTATCACCAATTGTTTGTGAAGTAAACAATAAATTCATCAGTTGGAATCATGAAATATAAGTTGTTTGTATATTGAATTTTATTTCTTTCATTTAGAAATGTTACTATTATTTACCTTTTTCTGAATGTTTTCTAAGGGTTCGTTTGTTTAATCTGATCAGTGCATTGGAAAACTAATTTAATAATTTAGTATGTCCTGCGAATCGTGAATTTAAGATCATTGTTGTGCTATAATAATATGGATGTGAATGTATCTAAGGTGAGAATTAATAAAATTATGGAAATCCAAACTTAAAATTTCACATGGATGAATATGTGGTATTCTGGAGGTAGTCAATAATTTCTATACTATGTAATTGCGTGATAACACTACTTGTATTCGGAGGCTTTCAAAATAGTTGATTTCGAAACACTGATGTCATTTTGTTTAATGACAGTTTGAATAGTTGGGATGTTGTTGCTTTACATTATGTACAGGTGTCAGGTTAGTATATTCAATTAGTTCATCAGATGTAGTATTTAAACCACGTTGTATTCAAGCTAATCACTGTGGCTTGAACGCCCATGCAATATTCCAGCCCTCACACAAATCGAATGACGAATTGTGGTGCATATATTCTTGGTGCCTCTTTGTACGAATGTTTGTGTTTAAATAAAGTAATCACCGTGGTTTTATTTACAGCGAGAATGTATTTAAACCCCCATTGAGTTGTGATTAATGATCTGGTTACTAGCTACTGTTTTTGCTTGTAAATATAGGTCAGGAAGATTCCTTACAAACGTAAAAGGCTAATTTATTGAGACGGCGATCTTTCATATTGAGATATCGACAAACTGAAGTTTGTTTTATCTCTACTGTCTACGCCATTGAGAAATACTAATATTTTGCAGTAATAATAAACATCAACTTCGTGACCACCCAGTTTTGTGATGTAAGTGTTTATGAAATCGGGATCGTATTCACATGGAGGGGAAAGTTGTTTTTAAAGGAGTCGTAAATACTAGCAAAGTATAAACTTCTAGAATGTCCCATAATTTCCCAAAACATAACTTTTAGTCTGTCTTCCCTTGATGAACAAGAATAGGTATTAAATTTCGTAAAACTGAATTCTAAAGAAATAAAGCATCTATTTTCTAGACATCCACCAAATGTTATGTAAATAGAGAATATTTGAACTCAATAATCATTTCACTATCGTTTTCTGATCACTGAAAAAAGTTTCACTGAATGTTCTCGTTAATAGAATAAATTCTTTACGATGCTTGACGGCTCATAATGAATTTAGTGATGAACGTTTACGTTCAAAAACTTTGTTAGGTAGTTCATTTCCCGGTTTGATCAAGTTTGTAGTTATGTGATGGTACTGTCAATAATCATTTGAAACTCATGATTATATCCTATTTCCTTACTCTTGCTAAAGCGAATTTCTTAAATATATAGTGAGTTACTCCTTTTGATTAGTGGCTAAATACGCTTCACAGTATTGTGTTGTTGAAAATTTAGGATGCAATAAGTTCAATTATATTCACTCGATTATTTCGGTGATTCGTAGTGTCACGCAGCAGGTAATACTAAGATGGTACTTGGGAATGTCGATGACAAGTAGGAATGGGATGCATTACGTTAGCGCTGGTGATTGTTAGCGTTATTTGCTTTAAATACACTGACTTTATTGATTAATAGTCTTATTGACCGCATCATGACCTTGATGGTTAAAGGTTGTGTTCTCAAGAGTTTTCTCTTCGGCCTGAAAATACCTGTATTGTGATTGATATTCAAGAGGTGAAGATGCTTTAGGTCAGTTGTCATTATATTAAGCTAGGATGTGTCCACACTATAGGTGACGGAAACGTCAGTTCAGGATTTTAGATAAGATAATCCAGTAGTCCATACATTTTTAAGTTACGAGTGGTTCGTTTGGTAAGTGGTGCTTTATGTAACAAGTAGTTGCGGTCATTATTGCGTACTGGCAATGATTTCAAACTGAGATGGGGTAACAACCTCCCTGGTTTTCAGTGGCTCACTAATCAACATCAGTCGTTGGTGGTCAATTGATTTCCAAATTAATAATTCAGTGGGAGCAACTGGTAAGTGATAACAGCACTCAAGAAGGCGATACGTTTCTAGATCTATTCATTCTTCTAACCACGACAGATGAAAAGTTTCACGAATTTTCCAGAATCTCCCGTGTCGTAATCCTATTCAAATTACGCTGGATGACTGAAGCCAACCAATGAAGAGTACCATCTCAAAATCCAACCTCCAAAAACCACATCTAAATTTAGGATGATTTTAAGAGTTTGGATTTAAATCATTTCCTGATAGGACTTATCTATTAGGTCAATTTTATGTAGTCAAAGAAATGTTGAGGAATTTCGCAGTTAATTAAAAGAAAAGCGATCATTTAAGTAATTCTTAGTTTTAATTCATCTCCAGCTTTGCTCAACCAGTTTAGCGTCGACTACGAACTCGGATGTGTACTACCAGTTACGCTACTTACGTTTTATGAGTAGTATATCTATTTGGCACATTTTACTTCATGCCATGACAAAATTCATTTAATTCAATCTATAAGGGTATATTATTTCGTAATCAGTGAGTCAGTCGATCAGTAAATCTCAAATTATGTGTTATTGTCTTTTTGTGTGAGTTTATTTGCACTGACAGGTGTATTTCAATAACTGTCACCACCCTACTTATTGGTAGAGACGCTCTTTATTCAGGCATAAAAGTACAGTGCATCAACTTAGAACTTATCTTTTCCTTAAAAAGCCATGATAAAAAAGAGGGTTTTATACACGGATTTGACATGTTCTAACACTATTGGGCAGAAAAAATAAATGAGTAGCAACGGTCTGTATACATATAAAAGTACATACAAAGGTATATTTAATGGCTTCTTTAATGATGTTATTTAACCATAGTGCCTACCCGGATGTGTACTGAGAGTTTTGTCGAACACCAAAACTTATAAAAAGTTTGGAATTCGCTAGAGAAGTGGTAATCCAGTATACAATTAAATTATTAGTAGCTGATTGTCTTTAGGACTCAGTGGGACGATTCCAGGTAGTATATAGTCGATGATTGTGTCGGAAGTGGGTAGTAAACAGAAGTGAGTTATGATATGTCAGAAGATATTCAACAGGATTTTCAATTTCATATACAGTATCACCAGACCGTAATTCATTTTGGTTCGTATGTTTGAAGGATGCAACAACTTCAGAACCCTCTGTGAAAATAATATTTCTTAGTGGAAAAATGTCACGAAATCTATTCTTGTAGCATATGACGCTATCTGACTAGTGTTCCCTCTATTTACCCAGTTTATACAACTCTTACAGACATTAGTTATTAGTCCCAGTCTGTCATCGCCAAGTTTACATGGTTCTGTTTAAGTCGAACACCATACCAAGATGGGGTTCACACTAGAGTATATGGAAACAATTAATTTACAATAACGCTTGTAAAGGACGATAGTACCCTTGATATCCCATGTAATAGAGAGTATTTATGTAAAAGCATAGATTCCTTTGTTGTGATTAATATAACTAGTTCTTTTTTACTTAATGTTGGCGTCGGCAATATTTCATTCAGTATAACATTTGATTTGAGTGTTGTTTATTCAAGATACGATATTCTTGCATTAAATTAAGTTGAATTATATTCAGCAGGATATGCAGTACGTGGTTTGCTATAACTTGGGGTATTTTTTATGTATGTAATTGCATTCTAACTAATAATCGAAGTGGGTGTTCAGTCAATATAAAATGAGTATGTTTCCGAATACGGTCGTCAGTGGGTTTTGGGTTTAATAAATCTTCACTTGTACCAGTCTTGATGTTTTTACTTCGCGTCGTGGGAATTGTAGTGGTTCCTTGTTTAACAAATATAAGTAGTAAGCGATTCCACTAACAATTATTGACGATCAGCCATAACAGTAAACAAGTTGACAGATTTAAACATTAGGTGTAAACATAGATAACAAACTGGTGAAAAGACTACCCTACACATTTATGGGTACGTTTTTATCACTTAAGTTGTATGTAGGATTACAAAGAAAATGGTTTGTGTCAAAATGTCCGATTGCTTTATTGGTGGAAAAGCTTGCTACCTATTCACAACATGGATTCTTAGAATCTCGACACATCAGTTTATTTATTATTTATTTGAACACATAAATATTGGTACAAGAGAGCCCCAATATAAGATAAGGAGCGTGAAGAAAAAAAAAGAACAATAACGAAGAGGTTGGTGTAAGGTAGTGTACTAATAATGATAGTAATAATGAGGGAACGGAAAGGTACAATCAGAAGAAATCTTTCAGTTAAGGGAGACAACCACTTCTTATGAAGAAAGTAAAAGAAGGTTACAGCAGGATCGCCACTGGCTTCTATTCTGAGCCATATCTGATAACGTCTCTAGCCACTGTGTAGCACCATCTCTCGGACCCCAACCAGGGAGTCGTGAAGGACCAACACAAGCCAGTCCTTTGCAGCTTTCTTTCATGCCACGACACCATGTCATGCACTGACCACCTCTCCGCTTCTTCCAACCAGTCCCAGAGTCGGCAAATAATGCACGACGTGGAATTCTCTGGGACGACATTCGGAGAACATGTCCAAGCCACCGAAGTCGGTGTTTCAAGATGGTGACACCAATTAATTATCATCTCTGTGCCCGAACACACGATGCCGAACCTCTGCATTACTGACATGGTGTTGCCACTGAATGTCAGCAATCCTTCGGAGACAGCGATGATCGAACACAGAGAGTCGTCTAACGTCCTCAACTCGGAGAGGCCAGGTTTCACAAGCATAGAGCAAAACTGCTCTCACCGACGCGTTGTAGATCCGACCTTTTACAGCCAGACTAACATCACGAAGGCGCCAAAGGTGGCCCAGATTGGCATAAGCCGCTCTGGCTTTCACTATTCGTGCATTGATCTCATCACTCACACCTTATGCAGCTACCTAGATACACGAACTTC